GGCACACCCAGTGAGCCGGACCGCTGGGTGTCTTCCCACCCCGAGGGGTGACCTTTTGGGGTCCCCCTCGGGGTAGGGCTAGTGAAGATTTTCTCCTCCCTCGTAAAACAAAAAAAAAAGGTTAGGTTAGAGTTAGTTAGGGTTAGGGTTATGGTTAGGGTTAGGGTTAGGGTTAAGTTAATAATATTTGTGGGATCTAATATTTCAACTGAATATCTAAAATTTTCGTTTTTTAAATATAGTATTAAAGAATTATAATACAAAATTTTACTCACTTTTCTAATAGATTCTCCAGTCAGTTCAATAGTATCCCAAGTGTTTTCAAAAGGCAAAACCATCATCAGATCACCGTAGGTAATATCAGACTCCTCGAGAGAACTACGAATTCCTCCTGGATTCATGCAGGCCACTGCTGCGTACGTCCAATGAGTTTTATTTTCGGCATCGTCGACAACCTAAAATTAAAGCTATTTCCAACTTAATTCTTTTTCCATTTTAATTAAAGATATAGAATATTGTAAAGAGTGTCCTCCGCACCGCATTCACCATAGCGTCGGTTATAAGATTTCCCATGTTACATTCTTGGTTGTAACAATTGTGTAGAAGTAAAATTCTCGTTGTGCCGACTTTTTTTAAAGCCATTTCATCCACTACCTTCTTCCATGGCTTTAAAGCTTTCAAAATTTTCGGATCTATATATATATATATATATATAAAATATTTTACACATTATTTTAAATATCGTACCGCTTTTATTGTACTACATTTAAGCTATTTTAAGCATTGTGTTGAGTATTTATTATCATGAATAATAATAAATATTTAATTCCTAAAATCATGACTTACCTTCTTCAATGGATTGATCCAGGAGAATAGGATTTCCGTCCCAATCAACAACTTCACCTTGGTCATCGAACCATACTGTCAGATTACCTAAATATCTTTAAAAAAAAACAAACAAATAAAAATTACGAATCTTTATTGTATACACTGTTATATAATTAAATTTATAATGTCAATTTGTACTCAATTTGTGTTAGTTTCTATCATTTCTATGAATCGCCGCCGGCTTCTAATATGTCATAAATTTAACTAAAAATTGAGGTTAAACAATTTAACTCAAGAAAATGTGTTATATTTGACAAAATTAGTTTATTATTTACTAAGTGCACACATCAATATATATAGGCGTTGTTTAAAAATAACAAAATGTTATTTTTAAACTCAAGAGATCACTGTGCCTTTGATATCTAACAGTGTATGTATAATAATAGGGATAATATGGATTTTAAATATAAATTCTTTCGATGAATTTGAAATAAATTTATCTGTCAAATTATTGCAATAAAAACAAATTAGTCAAACCCGACCTCGTGACATAAGATAGTAATTGACCTTCTTTAACGATTTTCTTTACTATATCCTCATGCTGACTGAATAGCGTACTTTGTATAAGCAGCTGCTTGAACGATAAGGACCGTTCTATCTGTTTCATTCTGCGTTACGATCACGGGATATTCATCTTGTGGTGTATCGATAAAAGGCGGAGATCCTGCATAAAAAAAAAATTGACGCTATTTTTAACGCTATATCAATATATCACTCATTTGCTATTACAACGATACAATTTTTTCAGAAAATGAATTTCAATGTTTTAAATTATTAAAATTTTGTAATTTTAATTTTGATATTAATATTTTAGTATAATAATTGATTATTGACAATTTTAGTATAATAACTGATTGTAGTTAGAGGAATAAAAGTATGTTATTTTAATATATTTTTTTCTTTTTACATTTCCTTTTCGTTTTCTCTACAAGCTGCTAAAGAATAAATATTTTTTAATTGTGTCGTTATTCTAGCAATTATACTGTGTGATCAGTGATATTTTTTATAGCTTGTACATACATATCTATCCATAATAAAAAAAAATTTTATATATAAATTTAATTTATATTTGACTAATATAAAAGATTTTGCTTTCAGACCACTATAAAGAAACGTATGCGAATGACCACCGACGATTACATCGACCAAAGGACACTTCGCAGCCATGATCCTGTCCACATCCAATCCACAGTGGCTTAAAACTATAATAATATTTACTCCTTTTTCTTTCAGTCGCTTGGCTTCATCATTGACTGTCTCTACTTCATTTAGAAATTTCAATTTCTCCGTATTCGATAGAAACTGAAAAAATCAAATTCTTCAACAAATTCTTTACAATATTTTATGAGAGAAAATAAGAATATTTTATAAATATATAAATTAAGTTAATAAAAAAAAATCACATCATTATCATTAAATAAAATCAAATAACTTCTAATTTATAATAAGAATGTAATGTTGATTACTCACATTTGTAGTCGATAAAATGACGCCAATGACACCAATTTTGATACCGTTTCTTACAATAATTGTGCTATTCTTATATAAACCCTAAAATATAATCATATAATAAATCATATAATATAAAGAAATTAGACCAAATTTTTATTTAAAAAAATAAATGGAGATTAAACCTGTATAGTTGGCTCCTCGTTGTCATCGATATTTGTTACTACAACTGGTGCTTTGACATTTTTAAGAAAAGGAACCACACATTCGATTTTATTGTCGAATTCATGGTTACCGATCGTCTATAAAAATATTATAAAATATTATTACATCATAAATGTAAAAAACTTAAAATTTTAAAGAATAATAGTTATTTATTAAATTAAATCTTTTATCGCAATATTTTAAACTTTATTTATATTTTCTTTAATCATTATTTTATATGCTTATCAGTTATATATATAAATTTCTCTCTTTTCTGTTTTATATGAACATGTAATAAAAATATTACACATACTATACTATATGTATATAATTACCATAGCATCGTGTGGCAACATATTCATAAACACTGCAGTGACGTTCCAACGATGGATATTATACCAAAGAGTTCCTTGAAAGTAATCGCCGGCATTCAGGAAAATCGCATTCGGTCGTTCTTTCATGAGCTGATTAACTGCAGTGTAGACTCTAGCTATACCTCCTATGCAATCCTTTTTGTGATTCTCTCGGCAGGCTCCAGAATATGGGTTCGTCTGTTCGAATCTGTTTCAACATAATGCCCGTTTTTTTTTTCAAATGTCACGCTTTGACGCTCCAATGAACAATACGATCACAAAAAGCATAAAAAGTCGAACTATGGATGAAAAAAAAATAGGTTAAGGCTACATCATCGAAATTATTGTAATAACTTTATTCTTGACCTCGTAAATTCTCTTCGAGTCTAGAATTACAATCAATTCTTACATTAACTACGCGTCAAGATTTTTTAACGGTTGTTTACTTAACATTTTTTAACTTCGATCAGTAATTTTTTTACAAATGTTCGACGGATCTTTAGATAATATTAAAAACCAGAAAACACATAAATTTACATAAAAAGACTGTGTTTAGTTTTTTGTTTAATTCTCCTGACTTACGATGGATCTTTAGATAATATTAAAAACCAGAAAACACATAAATTTACATAAAAAGACTGTGTTTAGTTTTTTGTTTAATTCTCCTGACTTACGATGGATCTTTAGATAATATTAAAAACCAGAAAACACATAATAAAAATTTTAGAATATATCAAAAGAATATATCAAAAGAAATATTTTTTAAAACAATATTTTTTAAAACAATATTTCGAAATAAAGTTCTCTTTTTTCAAAATAAAATAAAATCATATCTGTCTCAATTCGATTATATTATAGTTTGTTTAATTTTCTTTATTTTACATCTGCAAATTTGGATTATTTTTATTGAAATATACTTAAAATTAGTATTTATCCTTTCTCATACGAGTTATACGTATGATAAAACCTTTAATTAATATAAATTCAATCCATAAATCTTATAGACTTAGCATCAATTAGCATCACTGTGTTATCTATAAATATTTCGGAGAATAAATAAAAATTAAACAGATTTGCTCACCTGGCATGAAAGTCATTTAAATGAATTATTGATAACTCAAACAGGTCTGCTCTATCGGGATAAAAGAGTCCGCGTCCAGTAAACCCCAAACAAACTTGAAACAAAACTAAGACTAGCAGTAGCATGTACATGTCACACCTAAAGATATTATTAAATAATTTGTAATGTATCACAAAGTAATCGCGATATTAAATATATAAATTAAATAAATGAACATGAATTTTATATCTTTTTATATTTAAATCTGATAACCAAAAATGTCACTTTTAAGATGAGATAGACGCAAAAAAATACTGTATAACTTGCAATGTCTTTCTTACATGTGACATCTTATAACTACACGTTTAATTCTTTGTACATAAACATGATAATTACATACTATCCTGCTATTTGCAGAATAAAAATAATTGCAAAGATAATGCGGGGGAATTACGTAACGTGCAAAAGTCAGAGACAAAATAACCTTGTATTTAAGCGACCGTCACTGGACATTGTTACATTGTAGCAGTTTTAAGACAGGTAATATCTTTCGAGTATTATTCCAATATCTTTATCTCTGAATGTGTAATTTTTGTTTTATAATTCAGTAAATAAAAAATATATCAAGTTATATTTATTCACTAAATTATGATAAATTAAACAAAATACTCAATAGCTTTAAAATTAATTTTATCGTTTGTAATAAATTTCCAACAAATTTCTGTATTATAATATGTTTCTATAACTAACTTTTTTATTGAATTCATATTCCGTTATATAATTTTGTATATATGTGTGTGTGTGAGGTTGTCTGTTTGTTTGATATCCTTATCTATTCCAATTTGCGCAAGTTTCTTTCTTAGAGATGCGAGAATGTTTTAGCATTCAATTTTCTTTTTCAGTAAATAAAAGATATATCAAGTTATACAATTTATCCACTAATTATAATAAATTACACGAAATGTTTACTTATATACTCAATAGCTTTAAAATTAATTTTATCGTTTGTATTTCCAATAAATTTCTGTACTATAACATGTTTCTATAACTAACTTTTTTATTGAATTCATATTCCGTTATATAATTTTGTACATATGTGTGTGTGAGATTGTCTGTCTATTTGATATCCTTATCTATTTCAATTTGAGCAAATTTCTTTCTTAAAGATGCGAGAATGTTTTAACATTTAATTTTCTTTTTCAGTAAATAAAAGATATATCAAGTTATACAATTTATCCACTAAATTATTATGATAAATTACACGAAATGTTTACTTATATACTAAATAGCTTTAAAATTAATTTTATCATTTGTATTTTCAACAAATTTCTGTACTATAATGTGTTTCTATAACTGACTTTTTTATGAATTCATATTCCATTATATAATTTTGTATATATGTATGTATGAGATTGTCTGTCTATTTGATATCCTTATCTATTCCAATTTGCGCAAGTTTCTTCCTTAGAGATGCGAGAATGTTTTAGCATTTAATTTTCTTTTTCAGCGAATAAAAGACATATCAAGTTATACAATTTATCCACTAAATTATTATAATAAATTACACGAAATGTTTACTTATATACTCAATAGCTTTAAAATTAATTTTATCATTTATATAATATTTCCAACAAATTTCTGTACTATAATGTGTTTCTATAACTAACTTTTTTATTGAATTCATATTCCATTATATAATTTTGTATATATGTGTGTGTGAGATTGTCTGTTTATTTAATATCCTTATCTATTCCAATTTGCGCAAGTTTCTTCCTTAGAGATGCGAAAATGTTTTATCATTCAATTTTCTTTTTCAGTGAATAAAAGATATATCAAGTTATATAATTTATCCACTAAATTATTATGATAAATTACACGAAATGTTTACTTATATACTTTCAAAAGCTTTAAAATTAATTTTATCATTTATATAATATTTCCAACAAATTTCTGTACTATAATGTGTTTCTATAACTAACTTTTTTATTGAATTCATATTCCATTATATAATTTTGTATATATGTGTGCGTTGAGATTGATTGTTTATTTAATATCCTTATCTATTCCAATTTGCGCAAGTTTCTTTCTTAGAGATGCGAGAATGTTTTAGCATTTAATTTTCTTTTTCAGTAAATAAAAGATATATCAAGTTATACAATTTATCCACTAAATTATTATGATAAATTACACGAAATGTTTACTTATATACTTTCAATAACTTTCAAATTAATTTTATCATTTATATTTCCAACAAATTTCTGTACTATAACGTGTTTCTATAACTAACTTTTTTATTGAATTCATATTCCATTATATAATTTTGTATATATGTGTGCGTTGAGATTGTCTGTTTATTTAATATCCTTATCTATTCCAATTTGCACAAGTTTGTTTCTTAGAAATGCGAGAATGTTTTATCATTCAATTTTGTGAGATCAAAGAAACGAAGTTCGCGAAGTGAGTATTATCCGAATACTTTCAAGTCGTTTGATCGTACTTACATTCGGACGACTATTAATATATAACATGCAAAAAAATGCAACTTTTTACTTTTTCACTGCCATTAATTATAACGCGAACATAAAACAGGTGTTATGAGTTTGCGAATCGACATAAAATAATTGTGCTGTGTGAAAAGTACAAGGTCGATTAATGCAAATATCGGGAACGAAAGATTTAATAAAACGTAAATGATCTGACGCAATAAACATGTTGCGATATATGTTATTATTTATCAAATAATTGTTTATCCGCATAGTTAGTTATTCTTAGGTTAAATGAGTGTACAATTTATCTATAGCAAATAAGTGAAAGTTGTGAAACAGAGATAACGTGACCAAATTATAATACACTTTGTTTGATAATGAGTATGAATCACCTTTGTATCCAGCCAGTATGCACGTATTGAATATTCGTAGAAAATTGTGTGCTCAAGACAATGTCTCCATTTCTTACGTGAAAAAATATTGATTGTTTCGAATCCCCTACTTCACGAGTGATTACAAAATAGCTCAGTGTCGGCAACTCGTATTATAATATCTCAAATATTTTGAACTTAGTACACTTGAAATAATAAAATAATTTCCTTTGTAAGTATAACTGTGAATAATATCTTTAATTAAGATTGCATACATTTAAATATAAATTTCGATAAAGTACGATTTTTCTAAAGTACTTTATTCTAAACAGTGTGTATGTTTATATAAATATAATATTAGGTGTTGGAATTAATTCGTAGCGTTTTTAATGAAAGAATGTTATTTATTTCACATGAGCATTAAAAAATACATTAATGAAAGTACTTCCCATCACTTGTAAAACGCTACGAATTAATTCCAACACCTAATATTTAAATTAATGCATATTCGATGAATTTTTTATTATAAATCAATAAGGTACGATTTTCATTGTTAATTTAAATCAATTGCTTTACAACTCGCATCATCATGGAAATATATAGATTAATCTGTATGAAATATTTAAATATATTTTTTATTTATATTCTTTATTTCAATAAAAGTATATATTAAATCGCGAAAACATATCGTAATTTTTTACACTTTTTAGTGATTTAGTTAAAATGTTATTTACGCGCATTTGTAAGTAGTTGACACATTTTAATGCTTTTAATAAACAAATGGTGAGTAAAATGCTTATTATTTCCATTAGTTCTTTTAAGTCTAAATGTTGATTTTTAGGTGTCTATCTTTTATTTGATATATTACGATATATTTATTGATTACGATAATACATGATCGTGATTGTCACATATAATTCTATATGTCACTGGTTCAAATTATGACAATCAAATTGTAACATTAACACATTGACTTTAAATAAATTATTGACTTTAATTAAATTATTTGTTATTATTATTATTATAATCATAGTACAATTGTAACAAATAATTATGGTGTGCACTCGTACTAAGATAGATATATATATTTTTAATTTTTATTTATTCTTATTTTACTTAATTTTGTGCATCTTTAACATATGACTAAGATACTTTCTTCTTTTTTTTTTCTTTCCATTATATTCTATTCATAAACATTACTAATTTTATTCTGTTCTTTATAAATCTAATTTTATTGTCTAACTTGTTTTTGTAATATTATTTGTTAATTATAATAATTAAACTATAACGATTCTTGGATGCATCTTCCGAAATGCGAGTGCATGGCATTATAAATAGTGTCTATCACTTTCTTTGAAACATTATAATACTGATATGATGAGTTGCCACCGAATCACAGCTATCGGAAATATCATAAGTAACTTCTATCTTCATTTGCGTTTCTAAATTAATTTCGTAGATATTTTAATTTATATGTTAACAACATTGAAGATGACCTTATGGTAGGTCCGAAACGTTTGTCTTTGTTATACTTTGTTATTAAATTTTATCATCAATTTTTGTTTTATAATTTTTACCTTGAATATTGTAATAAATATATTATATTGGCTCATAGCTTTATATAGAATTTTAAATTATTCATTTTTTAATTTAAAACAATTTAAATATAAATTAAATAGAAAAAAATCTTGATTGTTTAAATATAAACATATGTAATGTCCCATATCCGTTCCCTAAAACTCTTTCTTGAAATCTCTCTAATAAGGTTGTTTAATATAAAATAATCTACTCGGGAAAAAAATGTTATATAAATGGACATATTTTATATATAATTATACATAATTTTATATATTGTAATTATATATGAAACATTTTTCCCCGGATAATTTCTTGCACAAAAAAATATAGTTTATATAACGCTGATTGTAATTCTTAATAGATCAGAAGAATTCATGAAATAAATACAAAATAAAAAAAAAATATTAACAAAAAATTTCTATTATCATCATTTCTGCATATAATTAAAAAAAACAATATGTAACAATTCCTGACAAACCAACATAAAAGTTATGTCTTACCACTATTCTAATCATCTATACAAATTTACGCTTAATTGAAAAATATACTATCAACGACAAAAGTTTCCGCAAGATTGAGTTTTATTTAAAAAAAAAAAAAAAGAAAAATTATGATGTTTAAATAACCCAAATTTAGTATTACATACGGCCGTATTATTCTTATGTCGATATTGATAACGAGATATCATATTGCAACAATGTCGTATATACCGAAGATATGCTTATCTTTTTGTTCTCACGTGATACGATTTTGGTTTAAACAAAATTAGAATGACTTGTATTACGCAAACGTGATCATAATGCGTGACGAAAACAGTTTGAGATATACACTAGTAAATAAATTGCCTCGCGTCATGTCAATTTATATGATGTGCGAGATTATTTATTTCTGACGAACAGGACACGTAATATAATAGGCAAAAAGGAGAACGAATGACGAGTATAATA